TGTTGTATATTATGTTATATATTATGCTGTATGTTATGTTATGTATTATATATGATATATATGGTATGTATGGTATATATCAGGGGTCGGCAACCCGCGGCTCCGGAGCCGCATGCGGCTCTTGAGTGCTCCTGGAGTGGCTCCTGGAGCGGCTCCTGGAGCCTTTTCAAAAATGTCTGAAAATGGAGTGTGAGGGCTATATTTTATTTCTAGTTTGAATGTGGTTTCTGTAGGAGGAAAAACAATCTTTACGTTTTTAAATGCTGTAAAAATGTGTATAAGTAATATTTAATTTCAACATTTCTGTCAACGTAGTGCGTCATATCCTATGACGCGCGGTCACCCGGCCCCGCCCCATGCGGCCGCTGCTGTAAACAAACCGGCGTGTGTGCATGATAGACTGTAAGTGCACATGGATCCCAAAGCTAAAACGAGAAAGAGTCGATAACAAGACTGGACTAAGAATGAGAATGAACATTTTCTTTCAGTCAATGAGGAAGGACTGCTTCATGTTTGTAATGAAAAGTTTTGTTGCAACAAGAGGAACAATGACGCGCAAAACGACGTAAACGGTGATTACGTGAAGGATTCATTCATCAAAAATTCAGAGCACCTATTTTCAGACTTCAAAACCTTCTCAAAGATGGTGAAAGAAACGGCCATTAAGGATTTTAATTCAGCTCCAGCAAACTTCAGCCTGTGACGTGATGGATATGAGCAGACAGTGATGCAGGTATGTGACCTCTGAGCCCAAAGCAGATTGATTTACTGTATTTCTATAATTGCATGAAGGCAAAAAAAATGGAAGTTAAACTAAAGCAGAGTTGTCACGTGTTGCGTCATTCACGACACGCGTGGTGCGACACGCTGCAGTGAAAATACACATTTGATAATCATGAATGATTATTATGTATTTGTAGCCTTTACTTTGTCATTTAGATATTAGGCTAATATAGCTAATACATCTTGCGTCCTGTGTTACCTTCATAAAAGCCTTATACAAGGCTGTTATTTTTTTGCGGCTCCAGACAGATGTTGTTTTTAGTTTTTTTGTCAATTATGGCTCTTTGAACATTTTGGGTTCCCGACCCCTGGTATATATGATATATATGATATATAATATTAAATTAGGTTTGCCTGGATCAGTTTGCACACCTGGTGTGCAATCCATAAATCTTGGTGCTGTAACCTAGACTAGCCTAGCCGTGGCTGCTGCTGTCTCACTTCCTTTCAGATACGCTCTCTTTATTCAAGGCTAGGTTTATGGAGCTATTATTGTTTCAATAATATTTGTGTGTGCGTAAAAAGATTTGTGCGTGCGTAACCAGATTTGTGTGTGCGTAACCAGATTTGTGTGTACGTAAAAAGATTTGTGCGTGCGTAACCAGATTTGTGTGTGCGTAACCAGATTTGTGTGTACGTAAAAAGATTTGTGCGTGCGTAACCAGATTTGTGTGTGTGTAAAATAAATATTTGTGCGTGTGTAAATAGATTTGTATGTACGTATCAAGATTTGTGTGTGCGTAAAAAGATTTGTGTGTCTGTAAAGAAAAAAAAAGTACGTTTTACACTCAAGTTTTTTTTATACACACGAATCTTTTGACGCAGTCCTGCCTTCGCAGATTCGCAAGTGTAACTTGGACTGTGTGCGTGCGTAAACAGATTTGTGTGTGTGTAATTTGACATTTGTATCTGTAGCAGAACAATCTGTGTGTAAATAACCGCGTTGTACAAAGAGAAGAACGAAAAAAGCCTAAGTGCTACGCACAGGCTCTGTTTTACACACGAATCTCTTTTTGACACACCTCTGCCGCTTAGCGTGTGTCAAAAAGATTCGTAAGTGTAATGTGGTTGTTCTAGCAGTACACCAGCAGATGGTGCTGTTGTAGCTGGTTATTACCTACACGCAAACAAACCAAAACCTACTGCCTTGACAAGACACACTACCACAGCTGTTTATGATATTGTTTTCCTATATTCAAAATCTTGTCATTCACACCACTGTATTATACATGGATCTATTATAATAACTGGTTTGGGTGTTACTAGCTTGGAGCTGAAGGATTCTCGCGTACTGCAGACTAAATTCACGTGGGCTACACAGACATTTTCCCCATAGAACTCAATGTAAACTAAAACAGCTGACAGAGAACCTACAGCTTTCATAAAGGTCGGATTTTGTGGGAATTTTAGTGTTCCTTGTCATCCTGAACTTTTCTTCTTCTTAAATCCTTCGGTTTTCTCTATCTACACTATAGTGCCACAAACTCAGCTGGTTTGCTTGCGTGTAGGTAATAACCAGCTACAACAGCACCATCTGCTGGTGTACTGCTAGAACAACCACATTACACTTACAAATCTTTTTGACACACGTTTGGCGGCAGAGGTGTGTCAAAAAGAGATTCGTGTGTAAAACGGAGCCTGTGCGTAGCACTTAGGCTTTTTTCCGTTCTTCTCTTCGTACAACGTGGTTATTTACACACAGATTGTTCTGCTACAGATACAAATGTAAAATTACACACACACAAATCTGTTTACGCACGCATACAGTCTAAGTTACACTTGCGAATCTGCGAAGGCAGGACTGCGTCAAAAGATTCGTGTGTAAAAAAAAAACTTGTGTGTAAAACGTACTTTTTTTTTTTCTTTACAGACACACAAATCTTTCTACGCACACACAAATCTTGATACGTACATACAAATCTATTTACACACGCACAAATATTTATTTTACACACACACAAATCTGGTTACGCACGCACAAATCTGGTTACGCACACACAAATCTGGTTACGCACGCACAAATCTGGTTACGCACGCACAAATCTTTTTACGCACACACAAATCTGTTTACGCACACACAAATATTATTGAAACAATAATAGCTCCATATAGGTTTAAAACAGTCCTCTTTAGTTTCGCGTATGGCTAGGAAGGTAAGACTCAGGGAAGGCTAAACTCCTCAGAGTGTCAGTCAAGCTGCATAGGGAGTCAGTTTGCTGGAGAAGTATGGTAACTTGAGCACTGTCCTCTCCTCCTTCCTACTTTATCTGTTTAGCATTATTAGGATTTTGACTGTAGTTTGTTCATTGCTATTCACCCGTTGTCCCATTGTCTTTTCCATGGTACGATGACAGGATCTCTGAGCCTGGCCTCTTCCATCTACACCTGCGGTAGTGCTTCAGTCCTGCACCGGACCTGTCCACGTTCAGCGGCCGCTGGTCCACGTCCTGTAGCTAGCTTTGGTCCTAGATCATTAGCCTGTCCGTCCGGAGGAGCGGATCCCTTTCTCAAATGGGTCTCCCTCCCTGTGGGTTTCCCTAGTTCTCCCCAAGGTTTCTCACTTTTTCCCACTGGTTTTTTTAAGAGTTTTTCCTTGTCGATGCAGGAGGGTCTTGTTGGACAGTTAGTGTCCAACAGAAAGTATGGACATTTTCTTCTGTGTGTGCTTTATATTGTTCATGTGTTTTAACTGTTGATTCTCTGATCTGTGTTGGTGATTTCAATGGTTTTGTTAAGTCCTCTGAGATGACATCTGTTGTGACCTAGGGCTATACAAGAATAAATTGTATTGTATTGTATGTCCTAAAGATTGTGCAAAACGTGCGCATCCATGAGTAATGAATTATTTACACAGACATAGAGTGGTGCAGATGGAGCACTATGCTTCTCGTCTAAAATGTCCACACTATTCACTAATACAATAGTGTATAACACTGATACACACAATGCTTTGCAAGAGCCATGGAAAAGGTAAGAGCAGATACTGACAGGACCTATAATAGTGGTGGGCAAACCCGGGCCCGTGAGCCAGATGCGGCCCTTTGGACATTTATAGCAGGTCCCTAAGCCTTCCTCAGTTTATGTAGATATTGTATAAAGACTATAAGATCCATCTGTGCTGCATCAGAGCTGAGAGGCAGCAGTCATGCTCCACACTCTGCCACAATATATCAAATATATATGGTCCGGCCCCAGACAGCAGGCTCATATTCCAATGTGGCCCTCAGGAGGAAAGGTTTGCCCATGCCTGACCAATAACCTCTGATAATGAAATAGTGTGGGCGACCTTGTTTTGCCCCTTTCTCTACGTGCGTCACCTGAAGCACCATTTCTATTCTGTTGAAGCCCCCATTAAGAAGGAACCCTGTTTATTTCCTTTGAGAAACAGAAAACTTGTTCTGCTTCAATAGAATGCTTAGAAAAATGTTTTGTGATAAGTTTTCACTGTTGATGTGCAATAGTACAATCCACAGTTGACCTCGGGCATTAAAGACAAACAGCTGCACCGGGGGAGATGTGCAAAAAGAACAAAAGTTGTCAAGCAAAAAATAACGTGGCATGCTTAATTAGCTGACATGTTCTTACGGGAAGATTCCGGTGAAATATGTCAGCTAATTAAGATCACCGATGCTTTTAGCTGTAAGTGTCTGAAGAAAAGAACACTGTACGTTTGTTCTCCAAAGAAGACATAATAATTTTTGTGTTTTAAAGAATGTGTGAGAAGAAGTGACCGGGATAAATCAACGAGACGCAACTCACTTTACTTTGTGTAGGATTATTCTGTGATTAACTACTAATTTCCCTGAAAATAAATTAAGATACGCTAACACTGTTTCTTTTGTGTTTTGAGATTGTGTATGTAAATGACCAGTTTCTTCAAAGTCTAAAATAATGAGTGCTCAACATAATCATCAGACAGATCTGGATACGGTTGTAGTGTGGTGGTTTACATAATTCACCCATGGAACTGTGGTTACTCTGGTGGGGTTCCGGGGGGACAGGAAAAAGGGTTGCACAGTTTTTCCCATGAAGAAAAATGTTTTTGGTTGTGTGAGGAGTTCTGTTACACTGGCTGTTTTATGGCATTAAAACGTGTACGTTTGTCACCGCTGTTTGACACACCGCCTCCGACTCCGCTCCTTACGCACCACATTGGTGACCCCGACGTCAGTCCCGCAGAAGTTTCTGGGACTGATCAAGATACAGAGCAAAGCAGTATGGCGCAGTCCGCCGCTCTCAAGCTGCCTGAGTTTTGGGAGACGTCCGCCGCAACGTGGTTTGCTCAGGCGGAGGCTCAGTTCGCCCTCCGTGGAATTACTGACGATGACACGCGCTATTACCATGTCGTCTCGGCGCTCGGGAGCTCCACGGCGACCAGGGCAGTGAGTTTCATTACTTCTCCTCCAGCCCACGGGAAGTATGCGGGGATTAAGGCATATCTGCTGAAGATTTTTGAACTGTCACGATCCGAACGGGCCCGACGCCTCCTTTCTATGCAGGGCCTGGGGGATAGCAGGCCCTCAGAACACATGGAGGTGATGTTAAACCTGCTGGGCAGTGAAGAGCCAAATTTCCTCTTTGTGGAACTGTTTCTGCGACACATGCCACCTCACGTGCAGACGGCTCTCGCGAATACAGCCATTACGGAGCCACGTGCTCTGGCGGAGGAGGCGGACCGGTTCTTCCTGGCCACCCATCGTTTCGTCCCTGACGTGTTGGCCCCGACACGCAGCTACACCCCCCCTGCTGCGGCCGCTCTGCCTGTTAGGGGGCGCATGGTGACTGACGGCCCGGCCAGCCCTGGGTTGTGCTACTTCCATGCACGTTTCGGGGCCAAAGCTAAGAGGTGCCGCTCCCCATGCAGTTTCAACGCGACGGGAAACGCCAAGGCCTGCGCTCAGTAGTGGCCGTGAGCGCAGGCGCGAAGGGCCGGCTGCTGTTTGTTGTGGACACCCTGTCCGGGCGCAGGTTCCTCTGTGACACTGGCGCCCAGAGGAGCGTTCTGCCGGCTACGGTGGACGATGCTGCTGGGGGGTTGCATGGCCCGCCCTTAACGTCCGCCAATGACACCCCTATCCGGACATATGGCACAAAGTCTGTGGACGTATGTTTCGGGGGCCAGCGCTTTACATGGGACTTTGTCACGGCCGATGTCTCGTTTCCCCTCCTCGGGGCAGATTTTCTGTGCGCCCAGGGGTTACTCGTGGATGTAAAAAATGGCCGCCTGGTGGACGCTTTGACCTTCTCCTCATTCGCGTGTGTCCGTGATGAGGGGACATACAATGGTCTCTCCAGCTCGCTCGCTGAAGGTGACAAGTACCTGCGGCTCCTCGTGGAGTTCCCTGACCTGACGCGGCCCACTTTCTCGGCTGCTACGGCTAAACACGGAGTCGAACACCACATCGAAACCAGAGGCCCTCCTATCCACGCCAGGGCCCGGCGGCTCAATCCGGAGAGGTTGACGACTGCCAAGGCTGAATTCGCCAACATGGAACGACTTGGCGTCATTCGCCGTTCTGACAGCCCGTGGGCTTCACCACTCCACATGGTTCCGAAGCCAGACGGTGGGTGGCGTCCGTGTGGTGACTACCGCCGTCTTAATGATGCGACCACGCCCGATCGTTACCCGGTGCCCCACATTCAGGACTTTTCCGTACATTTGGCGGGGAAGTCCGTGTTCTCTAAAGTGGATCTGGTGCGGGGTTACCACCAAGTCCCGGTGCACCCGGCGGACATACCGAAGACGGCAGTGGTGACTCCTTTCGGGCTGTTCGAGTTCCTCAGGATGCCTTTTGGCCTGAAGAACGCAGCCCAGTCGTTCCAGCGGCTAATGGACTCGGCACTCAGGGACATGCCTTTCATCTTCGTCTACTTGGACGATGTCCTCGTCGCCAGCTCCTCGGAGGAGGAGCACCTGACACATCTCCGAGTTCTTTTTACACGGCTCGACCAGCACGGGCTGATCATTAACCCGGCTAAGTGTGTTTTTGGGGGTGCCGTCCATAAAGTTCCTCGGGCATCTCATCACCAGTGAGGGGGCTGCCCCCCTCCCTTCGAAGGTGGACGCCGTTTCCACTTTTCCACGCCCACGCTCGGCCCGGGGGCTCCGTGAGTTCCTCGGTATGGTTACCTTCTACCATCGGTTCATTCGACAAGCGGCTCACGTAATGCGCCCGCTCTACGAGGCCCTTAAGGGTACGACCCCCAACCAGGACGTTGTCTGGACCGCGGAGGCGGACCAGGCCTTCGAGGACACAAAAGTTGCGTTGTGCCAGGCCACTATGTTGGTCCACCCGTCACCTGGGGCCCCGGTTGCCCTCACTACTGACGCGTCCGACTATGCCGTGGGTGCCGTGTTCGAGCAGTGGGTCGAGGGTACCTGGCAACCGCTCGCCTTTTTCAGCCGCCAGCTAGTCCCCAGGGAGCGTAAATACAGCACCTTTGACAGAGAGCTGCTCGCTGTTTGGTTGGCAATCCGCCACTTCCGCTTCGTCCTGGAGGGCCGTGAGTTTACGGTTTTTGTTGACCACAAGCCCCTTACATTCTCCATGTCTAAGGTGGCCGAGCCGTGGTCCGCCCGCCAGCAGCGCCAGCTGGCGTTCATCTCGGAGTATACCACGGACATACGACACATTGCCGGCAAATCCAATGTGGTTGCGGATTGTCTTTCCAGGGCGGTCGTTGGTGCGGTCCAGCTCGGACTAGACTACGCGCGTATGGGTGCGGACCAGGCCGCAGACCGCACCCTTCAGTCCCTCAAGGACTCGGACACTGGACTGCAGCTGGGAAAGGTCGCGGTCGGCGCTTCTGGGGTCGGGTTGTGGTGTGACCTCTCTACTGGCCAGCCCAGGCCTCTGGTCCCCGCCAGCTGGCAGCGGTCTGTTTTTGAGACTATACACGGCCTGTCCCATCCTGGCAGAAAGGCATCTGTTAGGCTTGTATCGCAAAAGTTCGTCTGGAGAGGACTCAAGAGGGATGTGCGGGCCTGGGTTGATTCTTGTGTGGCCTGTCAGCGTGCTAAGGTGCACCGCCATACCAAGGCCCCGTTAGAACCTTTTGTTGTTCCGGAGAGGAGGTTTGACCACGTTAACATCGACCTGGTGGGGCCGCTTCCCCCTTCACGTGGTTTCACTTACCTCCTCACGATGGTAGACAGGACGACGCGCTGGCCTGAGGCTGTTCCCCTCGCCTCTATCACGGCTGCCGATGTGGCTCGGGCGTTCATTGGCACGTGGGTTTCACGTTTCGGTACGCCCTCTGATCTATCCTCTGACCGGGGTGCGCAGTTTACCTCGGAGGTCTGGAACGCTGTGGCGGGGGGTTTGGGTGTCAAGTTGCACCGCACCACCGCATACCACCCCCAGGCTAACGGACTGTGTGAACGTTTCCACCGCTCTATGAAGGCTGCCCTTCGGGCCAGCCTGACAGACGGCAACTGGGTTGACAAACTGCCCTGGGTCATGTCTTGGCCTTAGGACCGCCCCCAAGGAGGATCTGCAGTCCTCGTCCGCCGAGCTTGTTTACGGCCAGGCTTTGCGGGTGCCTGGGGATTTTATACCGGATGCTACGAGACCTTGGTCTGCTACCGAACAGCGGTCCTCCCTGCGGGAGGTGGCCACGGGGTTTGCGCCTGTTCCTACGTCGCAGCACTGCTCCCCTGAGTCCCGGATGCCCGCTGGCCTCCGCTCTGCGTCGTTTGTTTTCGTCCGCCACGACGCCCACCGTGGACCGCTGCGTCCCCCTTACGACGGCCCGTTTAAGGTTTTGCAGCATGGGGACAAGAGCCTGGTCGTGGACATTGGGGGTAGGCCTGAAACTATTTCCGTTGTCCTCTGTGTATACAGCTCCAATGCAGAGGAATCAGCAGGAGTTTTCATTTCTGACCATGACGACTATTGTAAGTAGGTAATCTTTATTTATATGGAGACTTTCACAGGTTTGTGCTTTACAATTTTACAAATGTGATCTATGACCATCTTCCTTGTATTATACAGAGCTGCAGCAAAGGCCCTCACTCTGAGGCTTGAGGTGGTGGGACTGTCTAAACTAAGTTACTTCAACGTTTTCTTTGTCATTTAACAGTGTGACACTACTCTTAATTGAGTTGTACAAGTTCACGAAGATGAACAAACGGAAAAAGATAATCATGGACAGAGTTCGCTTTAATTCAATTGCACACAACTGTGACCAATCTCTGTGTGAGGTCTCTTTTGATTTGTTTAATCTTTCTATACAAGGTTTGTGTTTTTTAAGAGTGGATGAAGTTTGAATTGTCACCACTGAGGGACGTATAAAGGATCTCTTCATCTAAAGTCAAGCTGTGTCTACACGGGTCATGTTAAAACAGAATAGAGGGAAAATTGTATCATCAATTTGATAAGAATACAGCTCTGAAGGTTGCTGTATAGGCGTCCCTCTCCATCAGACTTAAGTTTGAATTCACTTCAACTTCAGCGAGATGCCAGGGAACTGAATCCATGATTGTTGCTAAAGCACCAAAAGACTTATTAGTTTAAGCTCGCCTTCTCATTACGCATGCATGATTGAGAGCTTCTGTAAATTATACTGAATTCTTGCTTTATTTCCATGTGTTATTTGAAGGTGTTTTGGGGTCCTTCACGCCTGTTACAGCAGCCTCCATCTGACGGCAGAGCGGCTGATAGCTACAGCATTGAACTCCTCGTCTACTAATTATAACCCGAGTCTCAGGTCTTTACCCTCAAACCCACAGACCCCCAGACGCCCCAGTCCAACCTCCTCCCCCCGCCCCCCTGCGTTACGACGACAGCTCCGTGTTTCCCGAGAACCGCCGTATGAAAGAAGAACCAGTGACAAGTTCTATTTCGGCCTAATGTAAACGTGTTCTAAACCCGGCCTGCACAGTGGGAGTGTGTCTGCCACCGTCCCGTACGCAGACATGAAAGCAACCCGCCGATCAAAAAATACTTTACGGTGTTTGCGCTGACAAATAATAAAACCCGGAGGGCGGGTGGGGGTACAGTCCGGCCCATTGAGAGACGCGAGACCGCCGATCGGCTCTGGGTAAATATTTGGGGAGCTAATTTAGAGGGGCTGGTCAGTTCTGTTTGTGTAGCAGCCCACACAGGCGCAATGTCAGGGAGCCCGGAGCCAGGGGAGAGGAAAGGGGAGAGGGGGTTGGTGGGTGTGGAAGGGAAAGTTTACTACAATAGCTGCTAACTAGGGATGGAAGATACATAGTAATTAGCATCTCGTGGCGGAATCAGAAAAGGTGGACTTTATCAACATTTGTTTTTGTTTTTGATTCTCTGATCTTTGTTAGCGAGTCGACCCTAATCTTTTAAAGTCCTTCAAGATAACTACTGTTGTGATTTAGGCTATGCATTTCCATAAATACATAGAATTGAATTGAAATTAAATTGAAAACTGTAAGAATAGAATTCCTTTGCAAACATCAACATATTCTGTTTTATAGAGGAATCTTATTTTACTGTTCGGAAAAGAATAGTTGTCAGCCGGAGCTTGGAGTAGAGCTGCTGCTCCTCCATGTTGAGAGGAGTCAGCTGAAGAAACTTGGGCATCTGTTTTTTGGATGCTTCCTGGACACTTCCCTGGAGAGGTTTTCCGGCGTGGTCCCACTGACAGGAGGCCCCTGGGAAGGCCGAGGACAGTTTGGGGGGGGGCTATGTTTCACAGCTGGTCTGGGGATCGGGAATCACCTGAATGAACTGGATGAAGTTCTGGGGAAAGGGAAGTCCAAGAGAGGCTTTATATTTTGATAATTGTAAAACCAGGCATCAGCCATTAAAGTATTGACCTATCAGAAGCCATCAATAGCAGGGAAAACTCCAGCTTGCCTTAGCAACCGTCTTAGAAACACGTCTGCGTCTGTTACGTTTACTGTTAGATTACTACTACAACTTTTCGGAATAAAAGGAAATTGGCTTTTGCTTCCTTATGTTCAAATCGGCCTTTGTCACAATAAAGCTTCTAACTATACAACTCCTATGTGGCCTTTGCTTCACTGTCAAATAAACGACTCAAGCAAAAGAGCTACTTTTCCATGGATCCATCCATTTTCTTCCCCTTAATCCATTTCTGGGTCGGGGAGGTCAGGTCGGGGGTGGCAGTCAGAGTACACTTAGCACCAGCCCCTCACTGATCCTCCTGCAGGTGGTGAGTCCACAGGAGCCTTGATCTTTCAGTGGGGGCTTCGAGCAAAGTGGGGTTAAGTGTCTTGCCCAAGGACACAACGACAGCAGTCACCAGTGGGAGTCATAATGTAGGTCTCGTGGTGGATTTGAACCTACGACCCTCAGGCCCAAAGGCCGACGCTCTACCAACTGAGCTACTTTCGCTCCTACTGCAATTTTTATTATCTCAAAATCCTACGTTAAGGGTTGTACTTTTGTCTTTTTGTTTTATGTTGTGGAATTTTTTTGTTCTTGTTGAATGTTTATGGTTTTGTCTGCTTCGTTGTCTTTAATGAAGGGGGAAATAAAATCCTCTGTTATGAATTCAAACACACTTTTCTGAATACAAAGATTGGTTTTACAGATTGTGTAGTGTGGCTCAGATGTGGAGCTCAGGTCGTTGTGAGTCTCTTCTCTCACAGACTTATCGTTCGTCAGGTATTTCCACAGACAGGACCTCCGACCTCTCTGATAACTGCACTGTGCTTATGTGCAGGTTACGCCACTGCGACTGATAACATTTCCACCATTTCAATCTGCACATTTCACTCTGGTCCTGCACTTACGACTGAAGAAATGAAAATATTCACATGTGTCTGAAATGTAAGATTTATTATTATCATGATTATGCTGTATACTCTCTATCAATAAGCCAGTAAGGAATAATTCACACGTTTATTGTGATATTTTTTTTTAGCATGTAACCATAATACAACATTATACCCTCATCAGTCACAGATCTGGGGCTGTTTTTAAATCCATCCACACTATAACTCCAGATAATTCTTCTTTATCTGGACCAATGACCAGTACTCATAAACCGATTCATTCCCAAAGATTTTAGTTGGATTATTGGACTAACGAACCAGTGTGCACTTTAAATCTCCACAAATGAACAATTACTGCTTACATTGAATGATTTAATTTTGAATTCACTGGAAACGGCCGCAAGTCCTAAGTATCTCTCAAACAGTTGTTGTTTTGTGCTTTTTAATTGTTATTTTTATTACTTTTTTCTACCTGAGATGTTGCTGCAGTACCGTGTTCATGGTTTTGTACAGACCCGAGCAGAGAGGATTCATGGTCCGAACCAAGTGGATCAGCCGTAAATCCACCGGAGAAATGCTAACTTTTTCAAAAATGCTAATTTTTTGCTGCTACTGGACAACAGAACTTCTCCTACGGGGGATCAATAAAGTATCTATCTATCTATTCTATCTTTCTTTCTAAATTGGGACAGAAATGTGAACAAGGCCTTGAAGTGGATGTAAAAAAAAAGTTTACGTTTTCAATGCAATCTATTGAGTTGTGATTGTGACATTCACCTAACTGTTCTCCCCAAGTATATCCTATACTGGCGGTTTATGTGACATAATTTAACAAGGAAAGCCCTACTGAGCAGGGGACCAGGCACAATTGGAGGAAAACTGACCAATAGCTACTGTCTCCCAAAACTGAAAAGGTCGCAGTAACTCCACTATGGCAAAAAAAAGAACATGTTGAATCTGGCCATAAACTTTTGAGCTTGTATTGGAGCAGATATCACACAGATATTCAAGTGAAAGTATGTGAAAGTGAAGGCTGTGGTAGTTCCCGGCCGTGCCCATGTAGTGCACATGTTTTCCTGTAAGTATCAGTATTTGGTGGCACATGTGCGTGAGAGCGTGTGTCATAAAAAGAGGTGTGTCCCTGATGCCCTCTCTGACTGAAGTGGTCACACTCCCTCTGCACTGATCAGGACGGATTCTCACAGCCGACTGGAATGTGTGTCCCAAGTCAAATCCAGTCTATTTAAGAATGCTATAACTGTGCTACAAACATTTGCCACAGACAGGGTTAAAATCTCTTGAATTTAAATTATAATAATGTTTTGGTCATGTTTTATTTCAGCGGATTGTTGACATATTGTGCAAAAATGATCACATTTTTAACGTTGTTTCTTCATTAAAAACAAACCAGGAGTTATTTTTTTAGATCCATCATGCTAATATCAAAACCCTGCCCCTTCTGTCCAAAGGTTCCTGTCTCAGTCCTGTAATAGTATTTTAAGAGATCCTTTATTCGTCCCACTGTGGGGAAATGTCAGTGTTGCAGAGCAGTAGGAATGTGGAGCACACAGCACAAGATAACTGAACAATAACTCTAAAACAAAATAACATTATAAAGAAGCAAGTAACATGTCTAGTCTACCTTTAGCATAATAACGAAGCAAGTATAGAGAAAGCAATCTATAGATGTATGTATTCATCTGTACATGTGATATCAATGTTCCTCTAAGACATCCCGCTCTTTAAAAAAATCAATTATTGCCAAAAAATTAGTGTTGCCATTTTTTCTAGTAAAATTATGTTATTTACAATCACATAAATTGTAAATAATAAATATTCTCGTTTGAATATTTGCTACTACCACCAAGATCAGTTGGTAATTATCAAAAAAACAAAAAACAAAAAAAAAACTACTTCAACTCCTCCATCTGGTGGTAGCAAAGAGAGTTACAGGTGGATATCATTTATTTACCCATCATTCAGTGATCATCAGATATTTTAGGATATTATTTCACATTCTAAAACATGAATAAACAAAATAAATATTTAATTTGTCATTTGAACAACCAAAGATAACATATTTATTTTTTAAAGCTAGGGTGGCTTTACATGACTCTTCCTCACAAACAATGGTTAAACTGAATGATTTACATGAACAAACAGAGCAGCTGACTTTTATCACAGGTTCTGCGTTTGTTGCTTTACAATTACAGGAAGGAAAAACAGAGATCAAGAAATGACCTCTGGTAGGGGCGACAGTAGCTCAGTTGGTAGAGCATTGGCCTTTGAGCCAGGGGGTCGTGGCTTCGAGCCCGACTTACACCATCGACTCCCACTGTTTACTGTCGTTGTGTCCTTGGCAAGACACCTAACTCCTGGAAACACCAGCCACAGTGGGGCAGCTGTGGCTGTAAACTGCGTTGTGTCCATAGGCAAGACACTTCACCCCCATTGCCTAGAATGAGTCTGGTGTGTGTGACTGGTTGGTGGTGGTCGGAGGGGCTGATGGCACATACTGGTTACCTCGCTCCTGTCTGTGTGCCCCAGGGCAGCTGTGGCTACAGTAGTTGTTTATCACCACTGTGTATGGAGTGAATGAATACTGAAGTATGAGAAGTGTCTTTGAGTGTCCAAAAAAGCGCTATATAAAACTGATGCACTAATATTATAAGAAAGGGTACCTCAGCTTTACATTCTCAACATATTGCTTGGAAGGTTCTTTCTTCAATTCCACCTCCAGGCCTTTCTGTGTGGAGCTTATATGTTCTCCCTGTGTCTGTGTAGGTTTCCTCCGGGTGCTCCGGTTTCCCCTACCACTAAAAACATGTACAATAGGTCTGAATGTTCTGTGTGAGTGAATGGATGAGTTATTCGGGGGGTTTGATGCGTGTTCGGCGTCTCGTTTCCGTCATCATCATGTGGAGAAAAACTCTAAACCTTGTAAAGTGCTTTGGGTGACCTGTCTGTAAAATGCTCTGTATGAATACAGATTACTAACTTAGCTTCTTCACATTTTAGTCTAATTAAAAGAACCTTCTAAACATTAAACAGAAGAAGACAAAAAGGTTTGTTTTACATTATCTCAAGACATTGTTTTTGCAGTCAACACATAAAAACATTGGAAACACTTTG